ATCATTTTCTTATGCCCAATTCCATCTGATGTGATACATCAACAATAAAAGTATCTTGTCTTTGTACCCCATAAGAAAAGCATTTTGTCTCAAACTATTTGACTGTCATTATAAATCAACTTGGATTTTAATTAGAATTGTACAGTATCATGTAGCCAAAAAGATAGCGACTTTAAAAATTGCATTTTGATTTTAAGGAAATATGGAGCTTTTATCAAATTTTTATTTATTTCTATAAAGACAGAATATTACAAAAACTTCTTAAGAACCTTATGTTCAGAAATTAATTACAAAATTCTATTTGCTCGTTCGAATGAACCGCATTTCACGATTAAATAGTATAAAATAATTTTAAATCTTAACTCTAGATATTTATTTTATTTTTTATAATATTTAAAAATGTGTTTCAAATATAAATTGTTATTATCATAGACAAAAATAAGATTTGAAATCTCAAAAGAATTCTTAATCTCAAACTATATTTTATTTTTAAAGTAAAAGAATTTTGAAAAAGGAATTTTTTTATTTTTTATTTGAAAGTTAAAAAAAACTTAATAACTTAAAAACAGATTTTTATATTTTAAAAAATGTATATTTTATTTTAGAAAAACAAGAGTTAACTACCTAAAAATATTTATTTATTTATTTATTATTATTATATATTTCATTTTCTTAAAAGAATTTAAGATTTAAAAAACATATAAAAAGACTATTTTGAAAATGACTTGACATTTTAAAAGTTTTTTTTTTTTGAAAGATTTAACAACCTAAAAAAATTAAAAGAATCAATTTTTTTTTATTTTTAGGAAAAATATTTTTTATTGTTGATGAATTTAAAAAACAAATTTTTATTTATTTTTTAAAAAAAGTTTAAATTAAAATGTTTTAATTAAAAAACTGTTTTTTTTATTTTTTTAGTACAATGAGTAATGCTTGAGGAAGAAGAAACACAAGAAAAAAGAGTAAGGGAATATAAAGTTAAAAGAAAAGGAAGAGAAAGAGAAAATTACATACAAAAAGCATTAAAAATAAAGGGATAAAAAAAAGTAAAATAATGAACGAAATAAAAAATAAAAAAATTGTTGTATAATAATTATTACTTACAATAAAAGACAAATAACATAAGAGAGAGTAATTAAAATTCGTACCTCTTTCTTGCAGTATTTAACTATTTTCATGTTTTTGTATAAAAAATTTGTGTAAAAAATTCTCTCTGTAAAAAATTTTCTTGTGAAAGAAATCTCTCCAAAAGTTTTCTGTGCAAGAAATCCATGTCCTTCTGTGTAAGTTGGTTACTATTTATAATATAATTAGTATCTAATAAAAGAAAGTTAAATATTTTTTTTACACTTTTATTATTTTTATTTTATTCTATATATTCCTAAATTAACAAAAATTAAAAATAAAAATAATTATTATTATTTACATAATATCCTTATAATTTTTATTAAATATTTTTTTTAATTACTCTTTTTATTTTTTTAAATTTATCATTTGTTATTTAATAAAATATGTGATTCAAACAAAAATAAGTGTTTACATATAGAAAAATATAATTTTTTTAGTTTTAAACTAGATAAATTTTTTTTTTTTATACCTCTGATATTTTAGAGAACTTTAAAATTTTATTTAAATATATCTACTATACTTTGTATCATTAATTAAAATGAATTAAAGCTCCCACAGTAATAGACAAGTCTTGCTGTTTTCTAATGAATAATCATTCCCATTATTTCATCAATTTTATTAAATTTTAATTAATAAATAAAACATTAAAAATAATATGTTACAAAATATTTTTAACTTCAGACACTGTATTTTTTTATTTTGTAAATATAAATATAACATGGTTATTTTTTTTTCCTATCAATTAGAATTTGAATATAGAAATTAAACGATAAGAGATGACAAATTTAAGCATGTACAAGTTAAATAACTCAAACACATTACTTAACCTTTTTTCTTTTTCAAACTTAACGATATAAATAATTTTTTTATTAAAATAAAAATATTTATTATCTTAAATTTCTAAAATATTTAATACATATTTTATAAAAATTTAAAATTTTTAATAGAGTATTTTGAACACTTCTTAACATGTATATTTAAATATATTTTTCAAAAATTATAATATAAATATAATAGTAATTATATAAAAATGTTAATATCAACTTCAAGTAGTTAAAATGATAAACTCTTACCATCAAACACACGTTTTAATTGATAGATAATTGTTTCAGCTTAAACTATATTTTTACTATAAGATACTTTTAAGTTTAGAAAATAAAAAGTAATTTTTTATTATACAAATTGTTTATTACATTTTATAATTTTAATATAATAATTTCATATAAAAATAATAATTTAAATGTTTTAATTCCATCCAAATGCTGAAGTTAATAAAACACGTTATATAATTGTGCTCAAGTGCTTCATTAATCGTTATAATCCCTCCCATTAATAATCCTATGTTAGATGAAACCGCGGAAAGGAAACACTTTCATTATTAAGCTATCGATAATATCAATTGCCAACATTGATTAGGAGAGACGCGCGGACAAGAATGCTATCAACACAATTTCGAAGATTTTAAGATACTTTTTCAACATAATCTTCATCGAAAGATTACTTAAGCAAAAGGTATAAATTATATATTGAAATTCACATATTTTTACTTAATTATTGAAAATATAAATAAATTGAATGATTTGTAAATTATTTAAATTTGACTCATTAAATATTTAATTAAGTTTGATTCTTTTATTAAAAAAATTACTACAAATTTTAGACTTAATTATATAAATGAATCAAATTTAAAATTTAAAATATAAACTTCACAAATTTGTGAATAGCTTTTATACGTTTATATAAAATGACAAATAATACTAATTTCATATAAAAGATATATTTAGTAAATTATAATATTCTCTTAAAAATTATCATTGTATAATTTTTATGTTTACAATTTTTATATATGTATTTTTTGTCTATTCTTATTTTCATCTCATATTCTAAAACCAAGATGTCTGTTAAATATTAAAATAAAAAAAATAAAAAATACTGTTAAACTTCGATTTTTTATAACTTACATTTTTTACATTGACCCATTCAAATATTTAAGCACAAATTTAAACACCATATTTTTTACACGAGACCAGCTAAAGAATTAAATGTTTAGATTATCACTCCTGTTAGTAATAAATTTATATAATAATTTTTATTAAAAATATAAATATTATAAAATTTAATATAATAATAAATTTAAATATTATAATATATATATTACTTATATCTTTAAACGCACATTAATGTTAGAAAATGTGTCTCAACGTTCTACTTCGGGGGCAAACGGGATTTACTTGTTTTGCCTTTAATTTCTATATTTTGTTGACATTCGATTCTATTGTACCTTTTCCGAATCATTAACTTAATAACATTACACGTCTTTTATATAATATTCTTTGTTTCTTTATTGAAAATAATATGTTTTATTAGTCAATTATTAAAAATATTTGATAAACATGTTTTTTACCCCTTCAATAATTTTTCTAAACAACTTTTTAAACATTTTTGTTTGTTTTTGATATAAGACTTTGTATAAAGTTTTTGAAATATATTTTACTTTTTTTTTTCATATTTATTCTTTATTATTAAACATTTTTAACTTCTTAGTAACTAATGTAACAATAAAGTTTAATTTTAAATTAAGGTAAATTTAGAATATTATATATATATATATATATATATATATATATATATATAATCAAATTGCACCTTATTAAATTACACTCATTTTTTATACCATATAATAATTTTTCATCAGATAATTTATTCTTAAAACGAACTATTAAATTACAAATTTTAACCAAATAAATTATGTATATAAATTTTAAGATTGATTCAAATTATTTGATACATTGTTCTATACATCAAAATTAATATAATGTATATTATTAAAATTTATGAAAATAATGACTTTTTGCTAACAATATTATAAATATTTTATTTTGATACAAATAATTTAAATAATATACGATTATAATTCAACAATTCAATTGATTAAAATTATTTTATATATTAAATTATTAATGATGTAAGAGTGAACATAACTTACACAAATGTTATTTGATTTTTCTCATATATATATATATATATATGTATATATTATTTTTAACATCAAATTTGAAAACTTATATTGATTAATAATTTTTTATAAAATGTAAAATTGATAAATTAAGTCATTAAATTATTTTATATTATTTTTATATAAGTATATCAAATTTTATATACTTTAAATATTTATAAATATAATATTCAAACAAAATAGCATAGTGAAGTATTTATTAATTTTATTTTTTATAAAATTTTTTAAACTAATAGTTAATTAGTTAATTTTATAAAATATTATTAAATAATATAAATTTTGAAATTTTACACAGTAGTATCTTATGAACATATATATGTATAATTTGAAGGTTAGTAATATACTTTCTAATACATTTTTTAAATATATTTTATTATATATTAAAATTTTAAAAATTATGAAAATAAAGTATTAATTTATAAGTAAAAAAAATAAAATTTACCAGAATTTTTTTAATTTTTAATAAATTTTAATTAATAATAAAAAATGTGTTAAAAAATAAACTTACATTACTCGTGTAATTTAATTCACAGATTGTCCGGAGAAATATCGGAAAGAAATGTAGTAAAATACAAAACTTATTGAATACCTATTAATTAAAGTATTTAAATAAGTTCATTTAATGCAGTAATGACACTTATTAAATGCTCATTAAGAAATTTCATACTAATATTTTTAAAATAAAAGTTTCAGTTCATAAATATGAAAGCCTCTGCGCTTTGATATTTGACCTTATGTGAGCTTCACGCTGACACTTGTGGCTACAAGAGTGAGGGGTTTTGATGCATTGTGAGTGCAAAACCCATTATAAAAAGGCAACAACAGAGAGAGAAAGGCAGAGAGAGAAAGGCAGAGCATAGCATCCTCACAGAGAGGCCACTGCTCTTACAAAATACAAATAACATTCTCTCTCTCTTTTTTACTCTTCCTCTTCGTTACTCTTCTTTTTCAACCCTTTATTGCTTTGGTTCCATTACGGAACCAAAGTAGGTAGTAGCTTCCATATAATAACTGGCATGATAAGTGTTATGATCATGCAATTATCAAACTAGCTAGCACCAACACCACTTTCATTCCTTAGTTCATTTTCTGCTCTCTCATTTCCTCAAACCAAAGTGAAAAAAACACAACAACGTTTTATATTATAAGATCCAGAAGAGCAAGGTTTGGTTTCTCTAGCTTCCTTTTTTGCGTGACCCCAAAGCAAAATACATATACATACAGAGCAACTACCCAAAAGAAAATATTCTGCTTTTTTTTTTTTTTTACACCAAAGTTGATTCATTTCTTCAAACCCATTTCGTTTGAAGCAAGTGGGTTTGTCCTAAGTAACCTCTCTTATACTCTCTGTTGTTTTCAGATGGAAGCGTTTCAAGGGGCAAGGGATGATGTTACCTTCCAAATGGGGTTGATTTGGGGCCAAATCAAAGAGCCACTGATCGTGCCAATGCTGAGAGTGGCAGTGTTTCTGTGCTTGCTCATGTCGATGATGATGTTGTTGGAGAGAGTGTACATGGGCATTGTCATTTGCTTGGTGAAGCTTTTTGGTCGAAAACCCGAAAAGCGTTACAAATGGGAGCCTATGAGGGATGACGTTGAATTGGGAAACTCTTCTTACCCAATGGTTTTGGTCCAAGTCCCAATGTACAATGAAAGAGAGGTCATTTTTCCAAGTTCTTTTGAACTTCAATTATAAGCATAAGGACAAGCACAAGTGCACAACACTTTTTTTACTTTTATTTTTGTGTTGACATATCATATATGTTAATTAAACTCCCAAATATAATGCAGGTTTATCAGCTATCAATTGGTGCTGCATGTGGGCTTTCTTGGCCTTCAGATAGGATCATCATACAAGTTCTTGATGATTCTACTGACCCAACAATCAAGGTATGTATAAAGCAAATAAACAATACCCATCTTGGCAAATCCTTATTGGAATGGACACGTCATGAATGATATATAAATAGATTTTTCTAAGGTATGTAAAATGACATACAATAAAAAGTGTCTTTGAATGCAAATTAAAAAAATCGTATATAAATATAACGTGATTAATGAAATGACTAGTGAGTGATGGTGGGAAGTGAATGAACATATTAACACAAAATGCAGGAGTTGGTGCAAATGGAATGCAGTAGATGGGCAGGCAAAGGGGTGAACATAAAGTATGAGGTAAGGGACAACAGAAACGGGTACAAAGCAGGAGCACTAAAAGAGGGTATGAAGCGAAGCTACGTGAAGCAATGTGATTATGTAGCCATTTTTGACGCGGATTTTCAACCAGAACCTGATTTCCTCTGGCGCACCGTCCCATTCCTTGTCAACAACCCTGAACTTGGTCTCGTTCAGGCACGCTGGAAGTTTGGTAATTTCCCTTTCACTCAACTCTCATCTCATTCATTGTCAACCCCTTTTTCTTCTTTTGTTAGTAATCATATTAATATTATTTACAACCCATTATTTTTATTAACTAATATAAAACAAAAGATAAGGTAAGTCTCACTTATTATGTTGTTAATAAATTCTAGTGAACAATAAAAATATATTAAAAAAAATCCCGCATTATTTTCGTCGGATTAACCTTAATCTGGGCTCCTAGATACTGGCTTCTGAAAACACAGCCTTGCTAATAAAAAACTGTCGGTGGGTCTTGTTTGATTTGGAAATGTTTCAGTTTTGGGCTGAGGTGGGTCCCACTTTGTGCTTCAGTGGCCCTCTAGTTAGACCACGTGTCCATCTCTTACCGTCTTGGCTAAGACCAGTGTTGTGTTGGACTCTTTCTTTGTTTGGGTGAGTTGTCTTAATATTTCTGATAAATAGTGGGAATGGCTACTCAAATCTCTTTTCTATTTTGGATACAGTCTGTCATGAGAAGTCACCATCATAAATGAACTGATAGATGATTAAACATGATACATCAATAATGGTTTCCGGGTGTTATGAGTGCTTAATGGTTCATTTATGGCGAGAATAAGGTTAGTTTCTGTGGCCGAAAAGTGGGATAACAATTGGACCACAACTAGGGAAAATGGTTATTGTGGAGTTTAAATAAAAAAAATTGATTTGAGAAGCAAAACCATCATAAATGCTCATTCCAGTCATTAGATGATATTACTGTAGTTGGTTTATTATTTTTTAAATGATTAGATAACTTTATGCTAGAGATATAATATTAGTCATTTATATCTTCACCTAATAATTGTATCATTATAACAGCTACCTAGAAAAGTATGTGCTAGATTAGTAAGTATTAAGAAGGTCAAATATTTGTTCCTTGTGTCTGCACTAGGGAAAATTTGATAGTGTTTCCCAAGTTTTTTAGTTGTGTGCGCTTTTTTTTTTTTACAAAACAGAACATTTTTACGGTTACGGTTGTGCTAAGTGTTGCAATTGATTTTCAACTGCACATGATTTTCGGGAAGATGAAGTGTTACTGTTTGGTATGTTATACTATCATTGCTACATTAAAAATATTTATATCAGTTGTACGAATATATAAATAAAGAGACTTAATATGATGATTATGTTTGTTAGAATGGCATTTTATCAATTTTTTATATATATTTAATTATTCTGTTATATCTGTGGACAAAATACTCTCTGATAAAAAAAAGGGTATATAGTTTTTATATGTTTTTCTAACAATTTACCTATCTAAACAATTAAGTAAAGTTGCTCACATAAAACAAAAATGATAAAAGGAATAATACAAGTGGCTGCCATTCATTTATTTCATTTATTTACGTTGTACATTTCGTTATGATTTTACTAAATTTCTATGTTCTAATTAGATTAAAAAAAATGATGATACATAAAACAAAAATTGCATAGCACTCATGCACTTAATTACACTTTGGTACGTTTATGTTTAAAAACCATACTTTTCAGGAATTCGTATTCCAACAATATGATTACTATAAAATAAAGGAAAATATGATAACATTGGAGGAAGCTGTGCAATGTGCTACCTGAGTGACTTTTAAGCATGCTAATTAAATGACAAGGACAGAGTACTAATCCAAGAATAGACTTGATCATGTGCATTGCCAAAATTTTTGGGCTCATATCTTTTGAAGTTTTTGCTTTCAATCAGGGAAGTTGTAATTTTAGTTAGACGATTCTTAAAGTCCGAGACATAATTATTGTGAATTCTGGTGACCGCAAAAGAGGGCAATACTTGAAATTAATCTGCATGCGTATTTCATGGGGTACATGTGTTTACTAGTGCACAACACCGTTCTTGGTATAATTGTGGTTGTTGATGTCATGATTGTTCTTAAGGATTTCATTTTCCATCTCCTTTCTTTGTTGTTATTATTTTTATTTTTAAAAGTTGTTATTTTTATTTGGATTTTCTCTAGTACTAGTCTATGTCTGCACACATTTTTATTATTCTTTTAATCTTAGAAAACATTCGAAAAAGAAAATCATCTACTACTGTTGCATCCGGCAGCTGCATGTGCAATTTTAATGGTGGACCCTCATTTCCCAGTCACTGTCTGAATTGATAGCATACTCTTCTGCTAAATCATTTCTAATTACATGATGAAACAGTAATTTCGTTGCTGCAAGGTCGTTGAATTAACCATGGAATATTTGTGTTTCTTTTTTAATTTCAGTGAATGCCAATGAATGTTTGATGACAAGGATGCAAGAGATGTCACTGGATTACCATTTCACTGTGGAACAAGAAGTGGGGTCTTCCACTTATGCTTTCTTTGGCTTCAACGGTAATCATGTGATGGCAAATATTTTCTCTCAAACAATTAAGAAAAATGAAAACAATTTCATCTATTTTCCTTTTGAAAAAAGAATAATTGATTTTAAGTGCAATAGTGGAAATGAGCTAGCTCATGTTTTCTTGTTGTTGTGAACTTGTGGCATGATGAATTTACAACCAATTTTTGTACCCTTATAAATGATTCAGGAACTGCGGGTGTATGGAGAATTTCGGCTCTGAATGAGGCTGGGGGGTGGAAGGATAGGACCACAGTGGAAGATATGGACTTGGCTGTCCGAGCCAGTCTCAAAGGATGGAAATTCTTGTACCTAGCCAATTTGAAGGTTCCATTTGCTTAATTCAATACAAGTCAATGTTATTAATCTCTTCATACATGTTACCAAAATTTATTGTGTGTACGTTAGGAGTGTTAATTCCTTGGTTTCTTTTTATTATATGGTTTTGTTGATGTGGCTTGAATTTGACTATAGGTTAAAAATGAATTGCCAAGCACTTTAAAGGCCTACCGCTACCAACAGCATCGTTGGTCTTGTGGGCCAGCCAATCTTTTCAAGAAAATGGCCATGGAGATTATTAGAAACAAGGTAAGTTGCACCTTTGAATTTGTAGCAGGACAAAAAGTATTGTCTATTTATGATCTAATTCTTGTATGTGTACATTGCAGAAAGTGTCCTTGTGGAAGAAGATTCATGTGATCTACAGCTTCTTCTTTGTCAGGAAGGTTGTGGCCCACGTCAACACTTTTATGTTCTATTGCATTGTGTTACCAGCAACAGTTGTGGTGCCTGAGGTTGTGGTCCCCAAGTGGGGTGCTGTGTATATCCCTTCCATCATCACACTCCTAAATGCTGTTGGAACTCCGAGGTCTTAATTTTTCTCAAGTTTTCCTCTGTTATATTTGCCCCTACTTTAAGATGATCCATGGAGCACATAATAAACACGTTAGATATGATTCTTTGGTCATTGCATGTGATTGGCTTTAAACAATGTAAATATAGTGAGGAATTCCTGGGAATTAGCATGCACACTCTGGTTCTTTTTCCACTCTCTTTAAATCTTTACATGAGTTGGTCTAGAAAGATATAAAACTTTGAAGACAATGAACTTGTTTTACAAGTATTAGAACCTTGTTGAGTTTACTCAACGTGTTACTTTTCAGGTCACTTCATTTATTGGTCTTCTGGATTCTCTTTGAGAATACCATGTCTCTGCATCGAACAAAGGCAACAATTATTGGTCTATTAGAGGCAAATCGAGTGAATGAATGGATTGTCACTGAAAAGCTTGGAGAAGCTCTCAAGGGTAAAGGTGGAGGCAAAGCACCCAAGAAGAATCGTTTCAAGATTGGAGACAGGTATAAATATATGGGGTATTGTTATTCTTGGTTTCATTTCACTAATTCACTTTTTTTATATCTTAGTGCTTACTTATCTATATATATGTTGTCTTTGTGATCAAATATCATTAGGATCCATATATTGGAACTTCTTGTTGGATTCTACCTCTTCTTCTGTGGCTGCTATGATTTTATGTTTGGGAAGAATCGCTTCTACATATTCCTATTTATCCAATCGTTTGCTTTCTTTATCATGGCATTTGGATATGTTGGCACTTTCGTTCCCCACTCCTAGAAAGACTTGACAACATTCATTCATATCCGTGCCTTCAATATCTACATAATGTAATAGTGTTCAAGTTTCACAGCATAATGTGTTAGTATGAAAAAATGGGTGGTCATTCTTCAAGGTTCTGCATAATCACAGGCTTGAAACAGTTCTTTTGTGAATATTCAACAAAGATACATAAGGAAACTACAGAAGTTATTCTCATGGAAATGAAGCATACAGAAAATGAACACAGAAGAGTCTACAGGCACCAATCTTCCCTGGGGCAATCATCATCTTTGAATTGGACAGATGGTTTATAAGATTTTGTAGTTTTTTATTTTTAATTTGATAAAACTTTCCCTTCTTTACATTGAATTTCTTTGAAGAAATAATAAACAGCTTGAATTAATGGGCTAGCTTACAGAGTTCCATGTTGAATCTTCTTTTTGTCTGACTCTTATTCAAAACTGTACAAAAATTATGGCATGGTGCATTGCATGATGACACTAATTCCTTAATTCTATGCCTTAAGAAATTTCAAGTTACAACCTCCAGCCTAGGTATACACCACAAGGAAACTAGGAAGAGGAAATGGTACTATTATTGGAAATTTCTGGTTAATTGTTTTTATAAACAAATGTTAAGGGTATTACTAACGAATTAAAAATAAAATATTTTATATTAAAAAGTCATCCTAATTTTTAATATAAAAAATTATTTATTGATTACTTAACAAATATCTTAAGAGTACTAATTAACAAAACACTAATTATTTTTAGGTAAATGGGCACTAGTTAAGGGGTTAGCAGTGAAAATTTTTCATTCAATATTATTAATAGACACACTCTCATGATTTTCTATACAAATCAACATAATTTATAATAAAAAAATTCACTTTTAATATTTTAACCAATACCTTTAAGCACCGGTTATCAATATCATTGTTTCTAATTTTCTTTTCTTTTCATTTTCTATTGCTAGGGCCTAATTGGCACCATATACAGGCTTATTTTGGCAACAGAAGCATAAACCAACCAAATCAGTCCTTTTTCTGAATCTTGAGAAGGGTAATTATAACCTCTATTTTTGTGTTCCATTAATAATGCGAAAACCCTCTCTAAACCCAAGTCAAATTTTCGTCAATCTCTTGAAATATAGAAAGATGATAGTCTTTTAAGCGTTGACTCACGTAAATAAACTAGTTTTTATGTACATTACTATTTTTTTTTCAAAGCTTGAACTTTCAGTTAAACGTAGGTATAATTTTGATCCCTCTTAGGTACGATTTGGGAATGGGCATGAAACCTTCCCCGTGGCGAGTATGATTTTACACTTTTTTTTTTTTTTTCGTTGGGTTTTTCGCATGGGTCCATATGGAACAGGAATATTGGTTTGGAAAAGAGAGGCAACTGGGTAGATGATATTAACTTTTAAATTTTAAATAAAATAATTATCTAACAATAATAATTAGATAACTCTAAAAGTATTAATGAAAGAATAAAAATAATAATAAGCCTTTTAACATAAAATTATCTTTAATACATTTAGGATAGATTCTTTATGTCTCCTTAAATCCCAATCTCAACACACCTTAGATCTTATCATTTGTGACTGGAACATGGAATTACAAGTTAAACTAAATGATTATTTTTTATCAATTAATCTATGCTTTTATTAATACTTGTTTCATTGTTTAATTCTATTTTATATGATTTAATTTATATTATTTAACTAAAATATAATACAAATAAAGATATATCATTACTAATATCATATTTTTCATATTTTTAAAATTTAGATAATAAATTAAAAAAATTTAAGTTAATATTTTAAAATATCCCACAACACATCATTGTTTGCATCAATTTTAGGTTTTTTTATTTAAATAATATAAATTAAAAATTAAATTTTTAATTTATATTATTTTAAAAAAAATTATTAAGATAAATTTGTATATGTGATAATAATTTTACTACAATGGAAGTAAAAAAATATTAAATTTTTATTTTTTTTAAATAAATTTTGTTATTAGAAGCACGAAATAATTATGATATTGCCATGTGTCAACATCTATATAATTTTGTAATATGTTTGACAAAATTAGAAGCTAATTTTACCATGAACAATATAAAACTTTCAAATGACAAATGTCATGATTTAAGTAAATTTTATTGTAAAAATTACATAACTTGTAAAGAGTTGATATGTGATACGATTTTAACTGAATACATGGATAATATGACAAAACTTTCAAGTATATACTTTTGTCCAAACTCTTACACTATATATATCATCATTGTCATTTCCCATTTGATTCAAAATAAGTTTTAGAGTGTTACCAAATTAGTTTTAGTTGATTTATTTAATAATTTGTTATTAATTTAATTTAAAAGTATGAATTTAGTTATTGTCATTTTATTTTCAATTAGATAGTTTAATTAATCAGTGAATGATTATTAATTTTTTTATTTTTTATATTAAAAAAATAAATATTAAATACTTTTTTAAATAGAAAATGAATGGAATTGTTATTATTATATATTAAAATGGTAAAATTTATAAATTATATATGCACGAACTGCATACAAATTATTATTACTTCTTAATTAAATAAAATTAATTTTTATATTATTACTAAAGTATAAAATTTACAATTACTAAACCATACTTAAATAAATAATAAATGGATTAAAAATATTTATTACAATTAAATAAATATAGCTCATTATTATTATAGAATTTTTTTAGTTAACTATTTTTGTATTATTCTCTATTTTTACAAATATATAAAAAATATAATATATGACATCATATTGATAATATTATGCAAATATATAATTAAAAAGATAAAGAATTTTCTTACATTATTGTAAGTCTAAAAATTTTTACACTTAATCTGAGTTTTTCATTTAACTTAAATCTAACAGTAAATAAAGTAATAAATTATAACCCATTAGATTTAAGTTAAATAAAAGGCTCAGATTAAGTGTAAGAACTTTTATACTCATATCGATGAAAGAAGATCTTGCCTCAATTAAAAAATATCATTAAATTAATTTTTTTTGTCTAACATCTAATTACAAAATTAAATTTTAGTCAAGTATACTACAACTTAATTTTTTTAACCATGTTAATCTAAACACAATTTAATGTAAAAATATTTAAAAATAACAAAAAAAAATTTACTAATCTTTATTAACTTTCACCTATATTGTTTCATTACTCACCACCATGTAATTACCTACATTAAATTATAAAATTTATAAAATTAAATTTTTTCATTTTTCACAATTTTTAAATAATAAATAAAATATAAAATAATATATAAAAACATATAACAAGATTAATACCTCCAATAAAGTCTAAAAATTGAGAAATTCCAGCCACAAAATTTGCACACCATACACAATGTTGAGAGAAAAAATTAGAAGGGAGACGGACGTCAAAGGAAGAAGAAGATGAAAATTTAAAAAAAAAAAGGAGAAGAAAGGATACGAAATGTTTACTTACATGTGTTAGCAAACTATTAGTTTTTAGAAAGGTACGATGAAATTTAATTTTGCCATAAACAGTATGTATGTCATGCGTTGTCACCTGTTGATACGATAAACTTTACACTTGTTCATTTTAATTTTTTTTTTATGATTAACATGTAATGTATTTTATTGATTTTGTAGTATCTAGACTTTTTACGAAAATAATATAAAAAAATAAATAAAAATACTGAAATTAACTTATCTTATAAATATTTACTTAATTAGACTTTTTTATCGTTGAGATACAGAATTCGTGTCTCTAGGGACCGAATTCTGATATTCTAATTTATGTTTCTAAGATACATTTGTTGATAGAATTCAGTTTTGGAGCAACCGAATTTTAGATATAATTTTAATTTTTTTCATTTTAATTTTTTTTATTTTTATATAATAAAAAAGTATTATGTAATATTTTATGTTTATATAATTATATATTGTTAAATTTAATAATAAAAAAATTATTTTAAATAATAAAATAAAATTTATTATTTAAATTATATTTTTATTTTTATATTATATGAAAATAAATATTTATATTATGTTAATTTGTGTGAAATAATAATTATATATTTATATTATGTGAAATAATAAAGAATATTATTTGAATATGTAAATTCAAATACTTATTCAAAATAATGTTTTCATTAATTGCACATCCAATAATCTTGAATTAATGTGAAATTTTATAAGCATGATGCTGATGCTACACCCTTCCACCAAGTCAAAAGTAGATTTATTTAAATCTCATCATGTGGAAGTTTTTCATTGGTGTAAGAGTTTTAATTTACAATAACACAAATGGATGTCATTGTCATAAAACATAAAACATAAAACAGCGCATGCATCCCATGAAGAAATTTATAGGACCCAAACCCAATAGTCTTCTAGTGAAATATATGTAACTCACGTGGATGTCATGTACTCGTCATGTACAAAATAGTCCAGGACATATAGTTGGAGCAAGAAGGTAAAAATTCACAAATCAGACACAAAATAATACTTTTTAATAAACAACAAACAGGCAAGGTTCAGAGATTACTACACAAAATAGCTGATAGAGAATCATTGACTTGCTCAGAGAACCATTTAGAATGCTCTTCATAAGAACTGATAGATTAATAAGTAGCCACCCCATCATTCCAGCTCTAACAAAGAAAAATCTACAATTTGAAATTCCATTAATTGTATAGCAACATGCCAGATTAATTTTAGTCATTGTTCACTCCTCCTTAAATATGCTGATAATGTTTATATAATGTCATTTGAAAAAGTCGGTTCTGAGAACTATACATACAAACATCATCAAGAAAAACATTAGCTAATAGGCTAAGAAAATAAGGACAAGATACAATCTCTAAATTTGATCAAATGAAGCAACATGACACAAACATTAAAAGACAGAAATTTTAGAATTTGGACAGGACATCCGGGTGTGTGATGACACATAACCTTTAAAATTGTTATTCATGTGTTTAGAAACACTTGAAACTTGCTTGCCATCCCATTTATGGTGACACAGATATCCTAGCTTTTAAAAGTTAACCATAAAAGTCAATATAAGCATTTGTTATTGGACATTTGCATGGATGACCTAACAGAACTAAGCATCTGTAGATAGTCCAACGTTCAAATTGAATAGACTATAATACCATGTTAAGAAACTTGAACCTAACTCATTCTCAAAAGTTACCTCATAAGAAGAGGATTATTTTAACTCTTAAAAGGAATATTTTGACTCTATTATTAGCCAATGTGAAACATCTTAATAGTTACCAATAATTGCTCTATAGAATGATTACTAGTATCAAGTAACCAAGAACCCAATTTGATTCCTTCAAATGCATAAACATGTTCACAACATTTTTATGACAACCCAGGTTGGATGGACATAGTGTTACACAAGTAGGATGTGAAAACATGTGACATACAGATATGTGATAAACCTTGCAGGGCAAGCACACAGACAATTTTTATAAGGGGAGGAAGAGAAAAATTTATAGATGATATAACAACCACAGTTTGGTATTCAAAATAATCATGAGAACATTCCCAAAAGAGAAACACATTTTATTGGCAGAAGAGGGGGACAATAAACCATTTATTATAAGTTTATAAATCACAATTAACAGACAGTCATGTTAAATGAGAAGAGACATATTTCATTGACAAGGCTGGTGGAAGACAATATTATTTTATTAAAGCTCAAAATTAATAAATAGTCTTCTTAAATGAGAATAAGCGAGAAAATAATGGACAGATCACATACTTGAGGTCAATACCCATGAACTGGGGATTTAGTTGTATTCCAAACCACCTATTTAAGTGAAATAGAAAACAAAAATCAACAAGATTAATCATAGAAAAGGAATTTCATCAAGGTAGTAAGGTCAACCATATTGCCAATAATTGCCAAAACCAGTACTTTGTTCCGATACGCAGAACATGGCAAATGCAAATACACAGTACTTTGCCACTAAATGCAAGTAACACATTTAGACATCAAACTTGCCCAATCTAGTTTGCCCAGATGGTTTGTAGCATTCAATCATCATGTCCATTACTTATTTGACACACCATCCATGTCATGCCACTTTGCATGCTATGCATCAGTATTTGTGCTTGAAAACAACGATTTTGATTTTATTGATATAAACCCTTGAAGAAAATAATTTTTTTCCATGGGGCCAAGAAAATGGAAGAATCAATAAGCTTTTCGTGTTTAAATGGGGTGTTAAGTGTGAACATTAAGGAGAATATTAAGCTTGGAGAAAGAGGATGTGGATCATGGACTAACTCATTGCATGGACAAGTTCTTTCTACTATCTCTCTTTGGGATAGGGAGTTAACAAATAATATATGATACTTAGAACATCTAAATTATGGCCCCTTAATACTCTTAACTAAAACAACCATCAGTTAAAGTAATCTTAACACTTAGAACATACCAATCATGTATCAGGTTTCCACTGATATGAGGTTTTAGTGATGAACCTTTACTACGTGATTTGCAACTGGAAAAACACAGTACCAGGGTCACCTGCCATTTAAATGCATGCGATGAACAAAACCAACAACCGAAAGGGAAGATAATTATAATGATGTGGATGATTATAAGGATAACAAAGATCATAATCCAAATGAACCATGTTGTCAAAATAGCAAGAGAATAATCAAACAGCAGGAGATGATACTAGCGTCCAGAAATTGATCATATATATATATATATATATGTTCTTAAATTTAAAATTGGACCAAATGGAATTCTTCAATAAAAGGGGTAAAGGAATGCCAAATAAAACTTCTTGAATTTTAAAAAAAAAATACATCACATGCTGACAGGATTTACTAAAACTTTGGTTTTTAACAAAGACCAATGACATGTCAGTCCATGTAGATGACCCATATAATAGGATAAGACTGGATTGGTCGTTGATTAAGTAAAATGAGATATTTGCACATGTTTTCAAGTATAATATACTGGTAGGATTGAATCAAAAACTAATTCTTAAAAGTGTAATGGTGTTTATAACTAAGTTCTTCAGTATTGGTTAAGCAATGACTTCTGCAACAACAAAATTGGTGCATGTAACTAATTGAACATGACAAACAAACAAGTTTGGCAAGTAACCACATAACACAAAAAATCTGCAGTGAGTCATGAAGAAAATGTTCATCAAGGGAAGGGTCATTAAATTACTGGGAATCCATGCTTAAGTAAACGTGATCAGTATGTAAAATCAAATGTCATATTTGGCACTCTAAATATTAACTCTACGCATACATACAAGAAAACTGAAGATAAAAGTTGTGGACAGCAGCTCAAGTCCTCTGTCTGATATAGCTTGCAAGAATTTCAACGAAAGTGCATTAAAAACTATGTTCTCCACAACCCCAATCTTTATTCAAGAATCTGCTCTGGCCAATCTAGTTCCATCCTAGCTAACATTTCATGAGCTCACACAAATGCATCTAAAAGAAATAGGTAAACATCCATAGATATATTCAATGAACACATACAGTAGGAGATACAAAACCCATCTTGGTACTGATCCCAAGAAGTGCAACCAACATAAGAAGCAAAGCAAACCTGAAATATGCCAGTAAAGTTAAATCTCTAACACGGTTTTATTTTAATTTTGCTGTAGTCAGCCTTTAGAACTAAATTTAAACATCTAAAAGCAGTAGATTTATATTAGTAAATAAATATTTAGTAAACTTCTGTATTTTCAATATAATACATTTTTTTCATATATTTATACTCATACTCAGCTCTAAGAATGAGTTTAATACAATCCATTATATATATATATATATATATATATATATATATATATATATATAAGAATAACATTGTAAGGAACAAGGTATATATTAGAAGTGACCATTGCAGCGATAGTGAAGACGAGTTGCATCGGGTAAAGGAACACTAGTAACAAGTTTTCCAGGGAGAATGGATCCACCAACGGCTAAGTAAGTGAAGAACCCCCCCCCCCCGCCAGTAATGCAACCTGACCCAGATTTTGAAAAGGAAAAAAATTGAAAATTTATTATTTTTTTCACAGAATCAGAGAATTCATGAAGAGGGTGGGTGAGGACTAACGGAGTTGCAGGACGAAGTAAGAGCGTGAAGGATAAAATCCAGATCCATGCACAACTCTACCACTCTCGAGTGAGTGAAAAATGGTGACTTAAGTATCAAATGGTTGAGGTAGAGATTATTGAGTTTCAGATGTTCTGTCACACTCCTTAGCACACTCAGCCGCTGAAATTTGACAGAATAATGCATCTCTAGATCCTGAATCTCAAAATTTAAATCCTTTTTAAAAATTAAAATTTTCATTTCACATTTCTTTGTCTTCTTCAAGTATTTATTATTATTATTATTATTATTTTAATTTAAATAAATTTTAAATTCCTTAATTTTTTAACAAGATCTTACAAAAATTCTTCTTTTAATTTTTTTTATTATTTATTTATTTACTACTGTCACACAATTGAGGTTTATTTATTTAAATAATATAAATTAAAAAACTAGTTCTTTATTTATTAGTTTTTTCAAACTATTTATTTGTCTGTTATGAATTTGCCATGTTGGCATAAGTTTTGTCATGACAGAAATGAAAAGTATTTAATTTTTAATTTTTTAAAAATATACTTCATCATAGATACTGAACTTTTTTACGAAAATAATATAAAAAATAAATAAAAATACTGAAATAGACTTATCCTAATATTTACCAAACCAGACCCTTTTACGTTGATGTGTAGAATGCGTATGTCAAACTGATGAGAGCGGTCCAAATTTAACTTCCAAGAGCAGTTATTTGGGAACCGCTCTCCAAATTTAACTTCCGAGAGCGGTTATCTGGGAACCGCTCTCATTAGTTAACTTCTAAAAGCGGACGCTCTCATTTTTTTGAAATACAAATTCTGCACCTCAACGTAAAATAATATTTTCATATTAATATTAAAAATTCATAACACAGTTTTACATATTCAATATAATATTCTTTATTATTTCACATAATAGAAATATATAATTATTATTTCACACAAATTAACATAATATAAATATTTATTTTTACATAATATAAAATAAAAATATAATTCAAATAATAATTTTTATTTTATTATTTAAAACAATCTCAAACTTTTATTAAATTTGACAATATATAATTATATAAACATAAAATATTACATATTACTTTTTTTATTATATAAAAAAAAAATTAAAACGAAAGTGGGAGTTCGGAGACGGTTCAGATTCACCGCTCTCATAAGTTCGATGTGAAGAGCGGTTCTGATTCACCGCTCTCCAAAAGTAATTTCTGAGAGCGGTTACCTGGAGATTTAGGGTCTAGAGGCATTATTCTGTCAAATTTCAGCGGCGACTGAAAGTGTGCTAAGGAGTGTGAGAGTATCTGAAACTCAATAATCTCTACCTCAACCATTTGATACTGAAGTCACCATTTTTCACTCACTCAAGAGTGGTAGAGTTGCGCATGGATCTGGATTTTATCCTTCACGCTCTTACTCCCTCCTGCAACTCCGTTAGTCCTCATCACCCTCTTCATGAATTCTCTGATTCTGTGAAAATAATAATAAATTTTCAATTTTTTTCCTTTTCAAAATCTGGGTCAGGTTGCATTACTGGCCGGGTTCTTCACTTACTTAGCCATTGCTGGATCCATTCTCCCTGGAAAACTCGTTCCTGGGGTTCCTTTACCCGATGCAACTCGTCTTCACTATCGCTGCAATGGTGACTTCTAATATATACCCTGTTCCTTACAATGTTGTTTATATATATATATAAGTATAAATATCTAAAGTAATAATTTTTTAGAAAAAAATGTATTATATTGAAAATACAAAAGCTTAATGAATATTTATTTACTAATATAAGTTTACTACTTTTAGATGTTTAAATTTAGTTTTAAAGGCTGACTACAGCGAAAGTAAAATAAAACTGTGTTGGAGATTTAACTTTACTGGCATCTTTCAGGTTTGCTTTCGCTTCTTGTGTTGGTTGCACTTCTTGGGATCAGTACCAAGATGGGTTTTGTATCTCCTACTGTATGTGTTCATTGAATATATCTATGGATGTTTACCTATTTCTTTTAGATGCATTTGTGAGCTCATGAAATGTTAGCTAGGATGGAACTAGATTGGCTAGAGCAGTTTCTTGAATAAAGATTGGGGTTGTGTAGAACATAGTTTTTAATGCACTTTCGTTGAAATTCTTGCAGGCTATATCAGACAGAGGACTTGAGCTGCTGTGCACAACTTTTATCTTCAGTTTTCTTGTATGTATGCGTAGAATTAATATTTATAGTGCCAAATATGACATTTGATTTTACATACTGATCATGTTTACTTAAGCATGGATTCGCAGTAATTTAATGACTCTTCCCTTGATGAACATTTTCTTCATGACTCACTGCAGATTTTTTGTGTTATGTGGTTACTTGCCAAACTTGTTTGTTTGTCATGTTCAATTAGTTACATGCACCAATTTTGTTGTTGCAGAAGTCATTGCTTAACCAATACTGAAGAACTTAGTTATAAACACCATTATACTTTTAAGAATTAGTTTTCGATTCAATCCTACCAGTATATTATACTTGAAAACATGTGCAAATATCTCATTTTACTTAATCAACGACCAATCCAGTCTTATCCTATTATATGTGTCATCTACATGGACTGACATGTCATTGGTCTTTGTTAAAAACCAAAGTTTTAGTAAATCCTGTCAGCATGTGATGTATTTTTTTTTTTTTAATTTCAAGAAGTTTTATTTGGCATTCCTTTACCCCTTTTATTGAAGAATTCCATTTGGTCCAATTTTAAATTTAACAATATAATATATATATATATATATATATATATATGATCAATTTCTGGACTCCAGTATCATCTCCTGCTGTTTGATTATTCTCTTGCTATTTTGACAACATGGTTCATTTGGATTATGATCTTTGTTATCCTTATAATCATCCACATCATTATAATTATCTTCCCTTTTGGTTGTTGGTTTGGTTCATCTCATGCATATAAATGGCAGGTGACCCTGGTACTCTGTTTTTCCGGTTGCAAATCACGTAGTAAAGGTTCATCACTAAAACCTCATATCAGTGGAAACCTGATACATGATTGGTATGTTCTAAGTGTTAAGATTACTTTAACTGATGGTTGTTTTAGTTAAGAGTATTAAGGGGTCATAATTTGGAAGTTCTAAGTATCATATATTATTTGTTAACTCTCTATCCCAAAGAGAGATAGCAGAAAGAACTTGCCCATGCAATGAGTTAGTCCATGATCCACATCCTCTTTCTCCAAGCTTAATTTTCTCCTTAATGTTCACATTTAACACCCCATTTAAACACGAAAAGCTTCTTGATTCTTCCATTTTCTTGGCCCCATAGAAAAAAATTATTTTCTTCAAGGGTTTATATCAATAAAATCAAAATCGTTGTTTTTAAGCACAAATACTGATGCATAGCATGCAAAGTGGCATGACATGGATGTTGTGTCAAATAAGTAATGGACATGATGATTGAATGCTACAAACCATCTGGGCAAACTAGATTGGGCAAGTTTGATGTCTAACTGTGTTACTTGCATTTAGTGGCAAAGTACTGTGTATTTGCATTTGCCATGTTCTCCGTTTCGGAACAAAGTACTGGTTTTGGTAATTATTGGCAATATTGTTGACCTTACTATGTTGAAGAAATTCCTTTTCTATGATTAATCTTGTTGATTTTTGTTTTCTATTTCACTTAAATAGGTGGTTTGGGATACAACTAAATCCCCAGTTCATGGGTATTGACCTCAAGTATGTGATCTGTCCATTATTTTCTTGCTTATTCTCATTTAAGAAGACTATTTATTAATTTTGAACTTTAATAAAATAATATTGTCTTCCACCAGCCTTGTCAATGCAATATGTATCTTCTCATTTAACATGACTGTCTGTTAATTGTGATTTATAAACTTATAATGAATGGTTTATTGTCCCCCTCTTCTACCAATAAAATGTGTTTCTCTTTTGGGAATGTTCTCATGATTATTCTGAATATCAAACTATGGTTGTTATATCATCTATAAATTTTTCTCTTTCTCCCCTTATAAAAATTGTCTGTGTGCTTGCCCTGCAAGGTTTATCACATATCTGTGTGTCACATGTTTTCACATCCTACTTGTGTAACACTATGTCTATCCAACCTGGGTTGTCATAAAAATGTTGTGAACATGTTTATGCATTTGAAGGAATCAAATTGGGTTCTTGGTTACTTGATACTAGTAATCATTCTATAGAGCAATCATTGGTAACTATTAAGATGTTTCACATTGGCTAATAATAGAGTCAAAATATTCCTTTTAAGAGTTAAAATAATTCTCTTCCTATGAGTTAGCTTTTGAGAATGAGTTAGGTCCAAGTTTTTTAACATGGTATTATAGTCTATTCAATTTGAACGTTAGACTATCTACAGATGCCTAGTTCTGTTAGGTCACCCGTGCAGATGTCCAATAACAAATGCTTATATTAACTTTTATGGTTAACTTTTAAAAGCTGGGATATCTGTGTCACCATAAATGGGATGGCAAGCAAGTTTCAAATGTTTCTAAACACATGAATAACTATTTTAAAGGTTATGTGTCATCACACACCCGGATGTCCTGTCCAAATTCTAAAATTTCTGTCTTTTAATGTTTGTGTCGTATTGCTTCATTTGATCAAATTTAGGAATTGTATCTTGTCCTTATTTTCTTAGCCTATTAGCTAATGTTTTTCTTGATGATGTTTGTATGTATAGTTCACAGAACTGACTTTTTCAAATGACATTATATAAACATTATCAGCATATTTAAGGAGGAGTGAACAATGACTAAAATTAATCTGGCATGTTGCTATACAATTAATGGAATTTCAAATTGCAGATTTTTCTTTGTTAGAGCTGGAATGATGGGGTGGCTACTTATCAATCTATCAGTTCTTATGAAGAGCATTCTAAATGGTTCTCTGAGCAAGTCAATGATTCTCTATCAGCTATTCTGTGCAGTAATCTCTGAACCTTGCCTGTTTGTTGTTTATTAAAAAGTATTATTTTTTGTGTCTGATTTGTGAATTTTTACCTTCTTGCTCCAGCTATATGTCCTGGACTATTTTGTACATGAAGAGTACATGACATCCACGTGAGTTACATATATTTCACTAGAAGACTATTGGGTTTGGGTCCTATAAATTTCTTCATGGGATGCATGCATTGTTTTATGTTTTATGACAATGACATCCATTTGTGTTATTGTGAATTAAAACTCTTACACCAATGAAAAACTTCCACATGATGAGATTTAAATAAATCTACTTTTGACTTGGTGGAAGGGTGTAGCATCCGCATCATGCTTATAAAATTTCACATTAATTCAAGATTATTGGGTGCGCAATTAAGATGTCTTAAAATTAACTTAATAATTAAAATAAACAAAAATATCAAGTTTGTTAGTTTTATGGAAAAAAAGTAAAATAAAATAAAGAAAAAAAAAGTGTAGAATTGTGAGAAGAATGAATGGAGAAAGAACTTAACTTTTATTCAATAGCAATAATACATTTATAATAAGTCAAAGAAACAAACTAATTATGTAATCGGAAGATTTGATAACAAACTAAATTATTCCTAAAATATTAAAACTAATTGATTATGATACTAATCTAATAAATTGAAATAACAAAAATAACTGACATTAGTTTCAAAAGTATATTATTAACACTTTTTTTGTTTTTTAAACTGTAAATTCTATCTTTCTGCAGTTTAAATTTGTTAACAAAAGGTGAATTTGTTGTTAATAGGAATCTTGTGTTTGCTTTCTGCTTCAAATTAAAATTAAATAAATTTTTCTTTTGTCACAGAAAAAAAATAAAAATTAATTGAGTCACTTTGATAACTATTAGAGAAATATGTCAAATTGAATTTTTCACTCTTTGAAGTTGATGCTTGAGTTACAAGTGTTTTTGAAATATTTTACTACTCTTTTTGCAACCTTGAGATGTCTTTTATTTGCACTATGGATAAAACTAGAAAATTTACTTTCAGCACTCAAGATATTAGGGTGAAATATGATTTTTTTTTTTTACATGAGAAAGTTGTTTGTTCTTTCTTCAATAGATTCAGAGTAATTTTTTTTCATTTTTATTTTGAAAATATCTTGATCAACTTCATCTTTAATTGAACAATGTTTGTCTTCAAAAATAACTTTGAATTTTCTTTTAGTCGGTTGACTAACACTTAACAAATTTTGTTCAATTTTTGGAACTAAAAGAATATCATAAATTAACTTCGTGTCTGAATAGTTTGCTATTACAATTGTACCTTTATCTTTGACGGGGATGAAATCACTATTATGTATTTTGATTTTGCTCGGCATCAAATCTCTAAATAGTTTCTTGTTATTAGTCGTGTTGTTAGTGCAATAACTATCAATTAGCCAACCTTCATTTGATCTAAAGTCTGAGAGTCAAGTATTGCCAAATAAATGATCTTCCTCTTGATTAACAATCTTAACCTCTTTATCTTAGTGTTACTTTTTATTTTTGCATATATTTTTTTTATGTCTCATTTGGTTGTATTTACTACATTGTTCATCAGGTCTCTTTCAACATTTGAAAAGAGATTGACCATTTTTTTCACAATGATGACATGGAGGATAAGATTTTTTCTTGTCGTATCTTACACTTTCATGATGCGTAACATGGAAGGCTCCCTCAATAGCACTTTCTTGTCTCATTGCATGCTTTTGCTCTTGTGCTTGTACCTTACACTTTCAGGCACCGTTACAAGAATTTTTTCTACAATTCTAGAATCTAGAAATTCAGTACATAGTAATCTTACCTTGTTAGCTATGCCAAACAATCTGTCTGAGTATACTGTGATTATCTCAAACTTTTTTGTTCTTTGGAGTTCAAATTCTTTCATCAAATTCAACACTTGTATGCCTTGAATTCTTTCATTCTCGGCATATTCTTTCTTAAGATAATTCCAAATTGTCTTTGCTGATTTTAAGGTCATGATTTCGGTGAAGATAGTTGTTGAAATACCAAGAAAAAGACATGATTTTGCCTTTATCTTTTGTATTTTCCTCTCCTTGTCACTTTTTATTTTGGCCATGGTAAGATCGTGCTGCAGAGGAAGAAATTCTTTTTCAACAGCTTTCCAAAAATCTAAAGCCTCTAGGTAAGTCTCCATTTTGATAGCCTCAAGATCATAATTTTTCCATAAAAGACATGAGGAGCATCTTGTAAAAAATTTAATTCAACATTTATTTTCACAGGTCCGTAAGAAGATAGCTCTTTGATACCACTTTGTTAGTTTTATGGCAAAAAAGTAAAATAAAATTAAAAAAAATGGCAGAATTATGAGAAGAATGAATGGAAAAAGAACTTAACTTTTATTCAATAATAACAATAAGTCAAAGAAATATAAATTAATTATGTAACTAAAAGATTTGATAACAAACTAAATTATTTTTAAAATATCAAAATTACTTATTGATTATGATACTAATATAATAAACTAAAATAACAATAACAATTGACAGCAGTTTAAAAAACATATTGTTAACAAAGTTGACCTTAAAAGTGGCAGGCCTTCATTTCTTTTTAAATATTTTGGGGGGTACATTGGAGGTGCAAGTGTCTGGATAGGGAAGAAGTATGTGACATGGTGATAGGGCAGGTTGGGGCACTCATTCTAATGTTGTTGGGCTGTAAAATACCTATTTATTGGCTATGGTCTAGTTTGTAGCCACAATCTATGCATTACCACATCTTTCTGCAGCAAGGGAAGAAATATCAAGTCCTAATTCTATCCATCATAGAACCCCTATGATGATAAACTGACATAATTGAATTTGTATGTTGTAGCTGCATTAGGGGGATTAATAGATGCATCATGTGCACAATTTCCTGTTGGATAAGGTGCAGTTTTGAATGGATCAGAATTAAAAGTTTATTGGGCAGATCATATGATTTTTAAAATTCCCTTCAAGGAAGAAGATAGTCAAATCTAAGTTGTAAAGGTACAGGTATGAGTACTGTGTCCAAAACAATGGATACAACTATTTTTGAAAATCTAATTTCAGAACAATATATACGTTTAAATTAATATAAACAATGTTGCATCACAGGTTTTCATCTTAAAATCTACAAAGGTTTAACAGAACATCATTTCTCCTGATATTTTCAGTAAACCATGATTGAGATATCCACTTAATCATTCACTTATGATCTAATTCTCTTTTCTAACCTTTTCATCCTTTTTTGTCTTCTGCAGATGGGACATAATTGCAGAGAGACTGGGCTTCATGTTGGTTTTTGGAGATTTAGTGTGGATTCCTTTCACTTTTAGCATACAGGTATTTATTATAACTAAGCTTGGATGATAAATAAAGATATTCCAACTTGCTATTTATTTGCATAGTCACAGAGATGCTACTTGTTTTGTGCACAAGTCATACTGTTGTAGACTGAACGTATCTATTTATGGAATTTTGTTTCATCTACAAAAGTATTTAAGCTCTAGTGGAATTTTCAAATCACTTTCGAAGAGTCTCTCTTTCTCTCTTGCTCATGCATGTTTTTCACTTAATTTAGCAAGAAAGTTCCCCACATGCCGAATCCATTTTGTATATCTTGTGTGTGTATATCTATGAGAAGGGATCACTTACTTTAGAAATAAGTTTTTGATACTTGTTTCTCTTAATAACTTTCTAGAAATATAAATCTAACAAATATAATCATTGAATTATGTAATTTTATCTTAATTATCATGCATATTAAATTTTAAATAAATTAAACATTTAAAAATATGTAATTTTGTAGTCAATATTTAGTTATATTTTGGAAAGAAAATAAAGTTGATTGATAAAATATATATTAATTTTTAAATTATATGAAATTTTTTAGACTATATCCTTAATGAGAGCTTTCAATCTAATTGTTAAATTGATGAAATTCAATGTTTACAAAAAGTTATTGAATAAAATAAGTTTGTTAATACTTAATTCAAGTAAGTGGATCCCTACCATTTGTGTGTGTGTAAGCCATGGTCAAAGAATAAAATTTGACCAACAAAAGCATGTATGTGCTTTAAAATCCTGCTTGTATTGACAATCTGCAATTGCTGTTAGGGCTGGTGGTTATTGAGGAACAAGGTGGAGTTAACTACAGCTGCTGCTGTTGCTAATTGCTTTGTTTTCCTGATTGGGTAAGTTACATATATATATGTGAAAGTGAATTTTATAGTGCACCACATACACTCCTGAAGTGACATGAATTCATGAAATTAGTTTGAAAGTAGTTTTTGTGAAGACTGAAATTAATCTAAAAATCACAAACGTTCTGTCAGTAAGCCTCTTATACTGTAATTTGTTGAATATAATTGTGCAGATACATGGTATTCCGAGGAGCAAACAAGCAAAAACACATTTTCAAAAAGAATCCTAAGGCCCCTTTATGGGGTAAGCCTCCAATAGTCATTGGAGGCAAGCTACTTGCTTCTGGTTATTGGTAAGATTTCATTTCATTTCATTTCAATGTCTTTTTTTCCTTGTTCTTCGTATCTTTCCATCTTCGGATGTTATGAAGTAAAAGGAATGAAGATATTCATATTTTATATGGATTTTCATATGCATGTGGTTTATTTTTTTCATCTCACAATACGTGACAAGTTTCTTACAAGAATTAGTATTTAATGCCATTATCATTATCATCATCATGATTATTATTATTATTATTATGCTGAAGGGGTGTTGCTAGACACTGTAATTACTTGGGGGACTTGCTTCTTGCTCTCTCCTTTAGCTTACCTTGTGGAATAAGGTTATCTCTTCAACCCTTGCTTGATTATGTTGATATGGAGTTTGGATATTGATTTTTCTTACGAAAACAATGCTAAACATTTATTATAATTTATTCATTGTTTCAGTTCACCACTTCCATACTTCTATCCAATTTATCTTCTTATTCTATTAATCTGGAGAGAGAGAAGGGATGAAGCACGTTGTGCAGAGAAGTATAGAGAGATATGGGCCGAGTATCGTAGACTTGTGCCATGGAGAATATTGCCTTATGTTTATTAGCATTTGAGCTCCTAGGCTTATTATCAATAATAATCTTTTAGCATACTTTCTAACACACTTTTTGTAATAAACTTTTTACTATTAACTAAAATTTATTAAAAATTACAAAAATTATGTAGGTGAGTATATTTGATTTCTGTTTTAAAAATAATTTTTTTTTAAAAATAAAATATAGTACAAATTCTTAAACTCTGTCTTATTTTTAAATTAATATTTTTTTATATATTTTTAATTTTTAATAAATTTTAGCCATAAAAAATTATGTTTGGGAGAGTGTACTGTTAACATTTCTCTTGTCAAATCAAAATAGTATTAAGTTCCGCATTTCATATAGGATGTTGAAATGCCCTTTAAACTATTTGACTTTTATCAATTTTTATTGGAATGAATTTTGACGTTCAGTCTTAATCCACAAAATTCTTGTTAAATAAGAAATTGTTAAAAGTTTTAAACTTGAAATGAAATTCAACGAATTATAAAATGTAGTTAATCCTATCTTCAATTTCAGGTTGATTAACTCAAAATTATGTATTATATGACATAGACATTGTCAATGCAGAACAAGGGTTGACTTTATTCGGTGTCCTTAAAAGTTATATTTTGTTGTTTTTCTCTAAACTGTAGGTTTGAATTAAAATTGTGTATGAATTGATTTCGATGAAATTAAGCTACGTGTGTAAATTAATTTAAATTATATATTTTGTTATTGATATAGATGTTTTTTTATAAATAAGTGAAAATTGATATTCTTAATTATTTAAAAAAATAAAGCTCAAATTCAAGTCATGCCATTTCTTCCATAGTTAAATTTTACAGGCATTTGTTTATAAAATAAAATATTTTATATACTAATTTTTAGTCAGTATATTTAGAACTTGGATACTGAACCAAATTATACTATTAATTAAAAAATAAATTCTTAAAATAATATATTTATAACACCATGTCAGCAAAAGAGATACTTAATTTTTTAATAATAAAAAAATAAATATCCCTTTACATGAAGTATTAAATGTTATGTCAAATAATTATTATATATACTATTATAATATTGCAAATATTATTTATAACACATTAATTAAACATATAGTTTTTAAGTAACTTATACAACGTTAAAAATATAGTTTAGAATAAATAAATTATCTTGACATATACTTTGGCTAAAATGATTTTAAACCTTTTGGCCCATAAACCGACCAATATCTTGACAAAAAGTATTATTTTTTCTTTCTTTTTGTGAAATACCAAGCTTTTAAATTAACTATTTCATACTCGAGTCAGAGTCTTTGCACAACAAATACTTGTATGGTGCTTTAAGATTAAGAAGATATTCTATTTTCGTGTAATAATATAATTAATAATATATTAAATATATATAATAAATAGTAGTGATTAATGGTTTATTTTAAAAAAATATAAATATTTTTTAATTTTTAAAATATTAAAATAATTATAACTGTCAATTTAAGAAGAATACCGAATACTCTTTCACGTTATTAAACACTTTTTTGTTTAGTATCTCAATCATTTAAATAAATGTACAACATAATGAAACAATTAAATGAAACCATATACTTATTGTTTAAATGAATTATTGTATATTATTTTAAAATAATAATAATAATAATAATAATAATAATTTAACATTTAAAAATTTATCCATTTGAGTATTAAAAGATTTATGATATCAAAATAAGTTTATTTAATATCATATATTTAAAAAGATTAAATTAATATTAAGTATAATTTTTAAGATTTTAACAAGTTATTTATTTTACAAACTTATTTGTACATATATATATACACTACATATATAATAATCAACAAAAAAATAATAAAAATAATTTTTTTCATATATATATATATCACATATTTATATAAATTAATAAAATGTTACATAGTTTGATAAATTTTTGTTAATTATTGAATAAATTTTGAAAGTGAAATATTAATTTAAATGATTAACTAAATAAAAAGACCAAAAGAACACTAAAATTACATATAAGCGAAAGTATAAGGCCTAAAGTATAATTTTAGAGGAAAAATATTAATTTGAAAGTAATCGCTTTGATCTTTTTACTTTTTTATAAGAATTTACCTGCATTTTCGTTTCTAGTCATTAAAAAAAAAAGATTTATTTTCAAATATATTAATTATTAATCTTTTAATACCCTTATTTATTATAAAATTAACATTAACTAAACACTTATTCATTATTCATGAGTAAATATATATATATATATATATATATATATATAATGTATAAATCACTATTTTAACAATTAAATAGTATAAATATTTCTAAAATAAGGTATAAATTTACGATGTATAATTTTTTTTTATTAATTTTGATAGATTGATTATTTATTTCTTATATTTTATTCTCTTCTATCCATGAATATTTATTTATAATTATTTTAATTAAATAAATATTTTTAATGAAACATACAGAAATTAAATTGGATAAATATTGTTCAAATATTATTTTTTTTTAAAACTGTGAGAATAAATTTATTATTAATTATATATAATTATTGAAGATATATTTATATATATAAAAATGTTTAAAAAGCAAATGAAATGGTTTAATAGAGACTAATTTATGGATGAATTATTTTTTTTTCAAAAACTAATTTAGTAAATAGATTTTAAGAGAATTAATAAATTAATGATTTAAAGCGTACAAAAATGGCGCGCAAAGGTTGGAAATTACACACAACTGGCCGACAATGCATATTCAAGTTCATTTTTTCAGTATAGCTAGTTAAATATAACTAGATTTGCTAGGTTTTTGTACGATTGAACTTTTTGTGGACGATTTGTTCGAACACTATTTTCTCTTGCTAGTTTTACGAATTTTTTCATAACAACAAGTTAGGGTTCATTTTTTGTTGGCGTTAGAATTTTTCGCTAAATTTTGTTAGGCTTTAAACTTGGAAAGCTGATAAATGTGCAGGCGAAGGGTGAAAGGAGGGGCATGATATTCAAATCTAGAATATTCCTGCATGTACCTCAGCAGACATTGCTCACCCTTCTCCTCATGCAATGATTATTTGATGCAAAAAGAAGAGCTAGAGCCTACGTGCACCGATGCCATATTATTGGGTCCTAATCTAGAAAAACTGCTCATAGAGCATGATAAGAAGAGCTCAAAGTTAAATTAAACAATGATTTCGTCGATATATACATGCTACTAGGGCAACACAGCATGGGACGAATGTTACTGACTTGACTTCAGGCTCTTCCCGTCTCCCGAAGGTTGCTACCGTTCGAAATCAATTCTGGGTATTCTGTGTTTGGTTTCAATCCTTGTGTTTTCACTGAACTCGACTCTTTTTTGGTCTTCTCTTTGGTCTTGGCCAACTTGCTAGCTGGGAAATGTAGTCTAGCCATCAGAGGACGGGGTGCTCTCGATTTCCTGTCAAACCCTCGCACGCAGACATACCCTGCAAAGCATTTTGTTCAGCTTTTTAGATAGGTATGGTAATCTGGATTCTGCTTTTCTATTCAGTTATCACATGGTTTCCTCCAATAGGAAAGAATGGTTCTTAACCATTTATTTGAAGAGGATAAAAAAGAAACCAGTAAGAGCTAGAAATTTGTAGAAGTGTGTTTATTTAGTCCTTTGATCCTGTAGTATTTCTAAAAGATGCAAATTAGAGATGATCATCACATAAATAAAAACTGGCTAACGTAGGATATTTAAATAACAAAGCAAGATTACATTCAGTGAATTAAATCTTACCTCTCCAAAAGCATTGTTGAATTTCTTGTGTTGATAAGCCTGATTGACAAAATTCATATATTCAACATCATTGTTTGACATATAATAATTTATATGTTAATATATCACTAGGAATTCTTTCTTTACCTTTAAATATTGATGAGACGGAGGTTCCAAAATATACTGTTCGCCTATTGAGGTTCCAGATCAAACTTCGGGGAACACTGATTGGATTAAGACTCGAGTCGTGGTCAGCAAATACCTGCTTCAAATGATACGTCAGTACTGCTTAAATTAGCAACATACACGTATAAAAAGAAAAGGAATTAAGCAATAGAAAATTTCACATTACTTTACCTCATTGACTTGGAAATAAGTTCCATTTAGTGGAAAGCTTCCCCGCATAGCTGTTCGACATGGTATCTGTTCATATTTATCATGATTTCAAAGTCAGTATACTAATAATGCTTGACTCCGTGTGTTGAAAGTAGAGAAATGCTAGAATATAAATATTTGCTTACACTATCTGTTCATATTGTAATTATGTGTATTAGGTACTGTATATTCTAGTATTTAATTGTAATTAGTTCTATATTAATGACACAATATAAATATTTGCTCTAGTGTGTAACCTAAGGCACATGGATTCATTCACATGCTCTCATTATTTTCTCTCTCAACAATATGAAAATGTGTTCCCTCCCTGCCCCCATAATGTATAAAACTTAGTAAGAAACATTTGGTTAAAATAATGATTTTGAAAAGCATTCAGACCAGGATTGTCCCTCTAACTATCTGCGAATTTGCTTCGCGGAAACTGTTGCACGAGAAACATTCTTTCTCATTGCAGAGTCGGCCACATTCTTGTGAGCTGCATTTGCTTTCAGGTGGCTGTATAGAATTTGCTGTCTCACCTGATGTAATAATTTATTTGGCAAAATGAGTTAGAAAACACCAGAAAGCTGAAATAAATCATGTATCTTAAAATTTCTCAACTTATTGTGCTGCATGGAACAGACTAAGATTTAACAACCGTAATTCATCTGGAAGGAGGTAGAGTAGTGAAATTGATATTTTTGTGTACCTGGCGTCCATATAGCAAGAAGGTATTTGCCTGGATCATCAGGCTCTCGCATGTCCCACTGTAATGCACAAATAGTTTATAAAGATAGATGGACAATTGGACATACAGGGAAAAAGGTAGCTTTGATTTACGGATGTAGCAATAACTAACCCCGTCAAGAAGAGGATGCATATCTGGGAGTTCATAACTGTATACAAGTAAACTAAAAATCAGCATAAATTGTTAGGAATTTTCACTAATGATGCTCATTAAACCCTATGTATGACATGCCAGATTATAGTTACTTCTATCTATGAATATTCCTAGATTAATCATTCTGAACATATAATTGCTGATTGCCAGTCTTGCTTTTGTGATAATTATTATGAAATTTCATTAGTGCATTGAATGTTATTTAGCTGGAGATGAGATTGTTATTTTACTTACACCCAGTGTTCTGTTCGTAATCGGCTCACATTTTTCAACTTGGGCATAGGAATGGCGGCAGCTTCTTGATTCAAAGCAACCAAAGCCTTTGACATTTCACCTTCTTGAAGTTCCATATTTTCTTGCATATAATTTTGTAAATTCAGAGTGAACTCTTCTATGTTAAGCTTGATGGTAGGAATTTCACATGAATCCTCATAGAAGGCATCCTCTATATCAGTTTCTGATATTTGAGAGCATTCTGGCTCTGGAGTAGTCGGCTCTTCAATGATAGGATGGCAGATATTTATTTCAGATTTTGATTCCAATTGCCTACTCACTTCTGTTAGTTGAATTTCTTCTGCTTGGCTTGTGTTCTCGGGGGGAGGCAAGTGCAACGAACTGATGATTTCAGATGGGTTATGATCAGTCACACTATTTCTGGCTGTGCTAACTATACTCTTCTGCTCTGGTCCAGGCAGGGCAAGCCTTGCACTACATGCAATATTTATTTATTTAGTATTTGATCTATTATAACTTGCAACACATGCATATAGTTGGTTTTCAGTGTGATATTAAGATCATTTCCAGCTATCACTTAGGTAACCATTTCTTAATTTAACTGTTATGATGTGTCATGACAATAGAACACAATAGTGCTGTCATTATAATGAGGTACCAAGTATTATAATGCTCGATATATGAACTACTAGTATTCTGTCCCTCAAGTTCCTTATCTACATTGCCAATAATAATATTTGCATTGCCTTCTAGAGTACTAATTAATGAGAAAGGAGTTCTGAATGACAATGCATAACTGTGACTTTTTTTTGCAGGGTTTTAATATACATACCTTGCAAATGCACTAGCAAAGTGTCTACATTCTCCTCTCATAGGGCATGCATTACAATTCGGTTTGCTTTTTGTACAGAAGACCTACATTTGTTGTAGTTTGTGTCACAATCATAATGGGTTTTGATTATGTAGGGTCAGTCTCTTAAGAGAATGCATTTACCTTTCCAAATGTAATCATCTGGTAATGTAGCTCATATCTGTAATATGTTGCAACAAAACATCAAAATGAAAAAAGCAAGGATCAATAGTTAAATTATGCATGCTAAACTTGCACAAGCATATAATGTATTTGTAGCCTGATATTTTGCTACAGTAAATTGAAAAGAAATCCTTACAATGTTCTTTGGTCTAGCTTGCACAGTCGAGGCCAGAGATATTTTTGTATTGACTCCAACACTGGGTACCTACATAAGACAATGGTATTAGTTCTTCCTATCAAGGGAATTAATGCCTTATATCACTTATTTATCCAGTACTCACAGTTCTAGGAGATGCAACTGTAGTGACTCAGGCAAGGGTTGGAGAGGTACCCATCCCAGTCTTACTGCTATACGTCCAACATTTGTGTCTACCTGTTATATGGCAATAGTTTATCAGATTTATTCCATATTCCCACAATTGCATGCTTCTGTTTTCAACTTACTGGGAAGGCAAGATGGTGCAGTGTTAAAAGCCGCACACACTCCACACTTTTCAATCCCAATCCTTTTATGCTGAGCAAATATTCTCTGCATGCATGAAATAAATTTTTATTATGGATATATTCCCCTTACTTGAAAGTTGAAATAGGTCTTACTGCTTGTGTGTGTGTATCATCAGTGAGAAATAGTACTTGAATGAAGTAGTTAAATTAACCATCGGACTTACTTTGCTTTGTCAGGTGGAACATCTCTCAGCCATTCAAGGTCAATGCTTCCATGTTCTTCAACCAATCGATTCAAAAAATTCTGCATAGCATATAATGTGATACGAGCTGAATTGATAGGCTGTCTCCAGAAAGTTATAAGAAAATTTTTGTGCAAGTTTGATTATACCTTAATACGTTCTGCAAGCCTGTTGTTCATGCCCCGTTCTTTGATTGTATTAGCAATTTCATTAACATCTGCACATCTCACAGCATCCCAGTCCAAGGAATCCATGGTGTTCTCTGTCTTTTCTCTTTTCCCAGCCTTAGCTTGTGCCTTTATTCTTAAACTATCCCATTTAAAATCGTCCTTTTTCTCCTTTCCTTGTCCTCTGCTCTTTAATTTTAGTGGGGCAGAACTTATCTCATTGGTTTCGTTCCTCGCATCATTTTTGTGGTCACCAAGATCTAACCCCCTTTCTTTCTGTAAAAGTTCTTGAGCTTGTCCAGCATTGTTGAAAAAGCTTTGCTGCGCGTGTTTGCTTTGTTCCTGTGGATGGACTTGAGATACAATACTTTGAGAATGGATAACTGCAACTTGACCTGCAGGCTCTGCTGTTTGAAAACTTGGTCTGTTCATATCATTTTCATCTTTATTCTTTAAGATGCTACTTGATGAGGGTTCTGTTTTGAAAGGATCAAAGCCATTATCTTCAAGCACTCCTGAGCTGGGGGTGAGTTTAAAAGTACATCCATGGGATGTGATGATTGATGCTTCTGAAGGGCCTGGAGTAACATTTGGTTTTTTCAAGCTTTCTGTAGGGTTGTCATGTTGCATGCATATAGATTGATCATATGTATCTCTTAAACTCTCATTTCTGCTTTTTTGACTGTTATCATCATAAAACCTGGTTGAACTAACCATTTCTAGAAGTTTACAGAAGGAAGTGCTGCTATCAAAATGGTTGTACTTTGCTGAGCTGGACAGATCTTCTATTTCTGAGTTGCTATCTGAGCATGATCCTATCTTCTCAGGATTTTGATCATTTGAAAAATCTCCATAGATTTGAGATGAAACAACAAAGCATTGGGATGAAACTATGTCATTTAACTCTTTCCCATCACCATTGTAACCTGATTTTTCTTCTTCCTCAATTGTAGCACTAAGTAGTTCACGTCTTGTTGGACTACAATTTTCCTTAATATTTCTTTGAGATGATTCTGAAAGTCTGGAGTTTGATTCATCTGTTAAGCTAATTACACTGCTGACAGTTCTGCAGGAATCATTGCTGTTGACAGCTTTTTCTCCAGAATGCTCAACTATATCTACTGTCATAGAACTTTGGTCATAAACAGATTGATTCAATAATTTGACATCCCATTCTGTGTTCTCTTCTGGTTCCACTATATGCACTTGTGGTTTGTTGACTACCAGCTTCATGTCTTCTGCATGGTATGTTTCAGACGTGCTGCTTGATTGTTTGGGAAATCGAGCAGCAAGGGACATATATGCAGAGCTGTCAACAAAAAAAAAAATATGTTGCTATATGACATCTCATTGAATTATAAATTTGCCAAGATTAAACGTAGAGTTTATACCTGGAAAGGTGGTCAGAGACATTTTGAGTGAGGAAAACCCCAACCACTGAATCTACAACTGATCCTTTCCATCTAGAAAATCGCCTGTCTCCTGTTGATTATGATTTCTATTATCAAAAGATTTTTATGTTGTATATTTTGCATTGAGTAGACATTTTTGTTATAGTTGTTGGAGGGGTAGGAAAACAGATAGTGGTTGGTACTCAAAAAGTGTAGTTTTGTCTTGTATCTTCTTTCCTTTTCTAGAGGTGTGTGTCAAAGGTAAATAATGTATGTCAATTATTGATACCTTGTACAAGATGCATTCGTGCAATAAATGAGTCTGCTCGTCCACGGAACACCTTTCGTTCTTCTTCCCACCATTTGGCCTTGTCTTCATCTGTTCCATCAATCCCATGACTGTTTATATCTAACATCAAAAGCTTCCACACTCTATCAGTCTCATCATCAAGGTCAACTTTTGGTCGTGGATGCTGTTTCTTGATGGGTTCAAATGGTCCCTGAAAGGGAACAATGGCACCGTCTCCATGGATAAGGCTGTTTTGATTTTGCTGGTTATAAGGGACAACTGCATTCTGCTCATATAAGACAAGATCTCTGGCTTCTGCATATATGGTTAGTTGTCTAAATTGCTCTGTTAATGCATCTACGTTGTTGATGGTTTTCCATAGAACTTCATGCAAAATATCTGCAATGCAAAAATTGTCACGGTGGAATAATTTATCCTTTGAGATGTATATAATGTTATTGAAACAAAAACAAGAATTCAGTTGAAATACCCATTGATTGGCCCATTGGCACTGGTAGGTGGTTATTTCCCCCTGTAAAATTATGGTGCTGTTGCATCTCATTGGTGCTAGAATATGCTGAACTGGAAAGAGCACCTTTCTTTCTACTCCGCTTCTTTTTTGTGAGTGATGTACGTGTTTCTGGAACCAAAGCATCAATGCATTTTTGTTGGGCAGACAGGCCTAGTTGTTTTGCAGTATAACTCGGCTCAGCATCACAATTTCCAATTCTGGTTAGAGAACCAAAATCATAAATTTGAGTAGGGGATTGAGATCTTTCTGTCAGTCTTCTCAAAGACAAGAGGAACTCTTCAAATGTTTGAGAATTATCAATAACATTTTCTGTTGATTCACACATGGCTGGGACTTGTTCTGTGTTATATCCAGAACTATAAATCCAGCAGTTGGAGCTTGATGCACATGGATGCACTTGAGCATCTTCATGAGGGTGTGTTGGTTGGACTTCTGTAGTAGTCACTGAAGATGTAACATAAGTGTTGGAAGTCTTCCCCTTTTCAGTTCTTCTTTTCTTCTGCAAGTTTGGAAATTGAACCCAAAAGTTTGTCTGGTATGTGGGCAATCCATTGTAGTGTGCCCCAATCAGATTCATGTCACTATCATCTGCACATTTAATGGTACCAGAGTGTTGTCTCTTTGAACCATCCATTTGCAACCTTATTGTTGAAACTTGACTATTACTAATGTTTCCATTCTGAGTAGTTAACTGGCCTTTTCTTTTATGTTTGTTCTCTGCAGAGTTTGCATTGAGCTTTGCCCCAAGGGGATTGATTGTTGAAATGGATTTACTTGGGTCATGCATTTCTTCAGGTAATGGCATGTAATTATTTAATGCCTGCTTCATTCGAGTGTCTCGATTATAGGCAAGGCCAACTTTTGTTTCCTCTAACACAATATTATTTTCCTTGCCAATGTGCAAAACTAAATTTTCTCTGCCTGCATAACTTTTCTCTATTGTTCCCATGCCAAAATTTAAGGACCTTCTCCATGACATATTATTAGATTCAAGCATCATTGCTTCAGTCAAATCTTTCATTTCTGTTGGAGGAATAGGAGCAGCATTAGTCAATCCTCTCTTTCTCACATTCTTCCTCTTGCCAGTAGGGTTTTCTGTCTTTGCCCCAGGGAGGTTAATTTTTGAAGATGTACTTGGAAATTGTGTATCATAAGGTACTTGCTTCATTTCCCACATGACTTCACCAATTTCATTGCCTGAATGCACAGTTACACACTCTTTCACTGCAGAACTTTGATCTCTTGCTCTTTCATCAAAATTTACAGACCCTATACTTGACATTTGGGCAGATTCGGGCATCTTTTCTTTAGTCTGTTCTCCAGTCACTTCTGTTGGAGAAGTCTTGTTCACTACTTTCCTTCTCACATACTTCCTCTTGCCAGTTGAGTTTTCCTGTGTCTTTGTCCCAGAGCGTTTTCTTGAAGATGTATTTGGGGATTGTGTGTCTTCTGGCAATGACATGTGACTATTTGATGCCTGCTTCATGGAACTGTTCAGATCATAGGCTAGGCCTACAGTTTCTTTTATGACTGCTCCATTTTCTTTGCTCAAAAGTACAGTTGCATTTTCTAAATCAGCAGAACTTTGATATTTTGTTTCAATGTCAAAATTTAAGGAGCTTACAAAAGACATTTTGACAGATCCAGGCATTTCCTTAGTCAATTCTCCAGTCACTCCTGTTGGAGAAGTTTTATTCAATTGCTTTGTTCTCACATATTTCCTCTTGCCAGTTGAGTTTTCCATTGTCTTTGTCCCGGAGCTTTTTCTTGAAGTAGATGTATTTGGGGCTTGTGTGTCTTCTGGTAATGACATGTGACAGTTTGATGCCAGCTTCATGGAGCTATTCAGATTATTGGCTATGCTCAGATTATTGGCTATGCCTACGTCAGTTTCTTGTATGACTACATTTTCTTTGCCTAAAAGTGCAGTTTCATTTTCTCTGTCTGCAGAACTTTGATCTTTTGTTCCTATGTCAAAACTTAATGAGATACAAGATATTTTCTCAGATCCAGGCATTTCTTTAGTCAATACTCCAGTCACTTCTGTTGGAGGAGTAGAAGTCTTGTTCAATCCCTTCCTTCTCACATACTTCCTCTTGCCAGTTGAGTTTTCTGTTGTCTTTGTCCCAGACCTTTTTCTTGACGGTGTGCTGGGGGCTTGTGTGTCTTCTGGTAATGACATGTGACTGTTTGATGCCTGCTTCATGTAACTGTTCAGATCATTGGCTAGGCCTACATCAGTTTGTTGAACGACTACTCCATTTTCTTTGCCAAGAAGTGTTGCATTTTCTATGTCTACAGAACTTCCATCTTTTGTTCCCATGTCAAAATTTAAGGATCTTCTACAAGATATGTTGGCAGATCCAGGCATTTCTTTAGCTAATTCTCCAGTCACTTCTGCTGGAGAAGCAGCAGTCTTGTTCAATCCCTTCCTTCTCACATACCTCCTCTTGCCAGTCAGGTTGTCTTTTGATTGAACAGCCTTCGGGGTAGCAGGCTTCCGAGTTCTTTTGGGTTTGTCTTCTTTGATGACTTTGGGACGGTGTTTTCTTCTCCTTGATTTTTGTTGAGGTGTTTTATTCAGATCAGTATCGTGGCTGCTTCCCTTGTCTAGGTTGTCATTGTCCTTGAATGGAGAAGAAACAGAAGTGAATTCTGTGAGTGGGTCACAGAGTTCTTTATTGATTGGTGGTACATTGTTGTCAAACTTTTTGGCTGGGACATTTTTCTCTTCCCCTCCAGGATCCTTTTCTTCCACAGTGATTTGCATTGATGCTATTTGTCTGGTTTCTACTTTGTTGGTGTCAACTGTAAATGAGGTATCTTGGGAAGTTCTCTTGCTACACCATGCAATGTATGATATTTCTGTCAAAAATAGTATGCAAACAAGAGTAAGAGCACTATGGTCCCAGATTGATCAAGTATTAATTAAGACAAAAACTTGTTGATAAGGAATGCCTGTGGAGCAAAAAGGTTAGATGAATGCCATATAGCAACATGTTCTCAAGATTGACAAGTTTCAGGGGAAAACATGCACGCTGACTAGTTCTTCTAATGAAAGTTTAGAATTTAAAAAATATAACTTCCCATTCAAATGTCCTCGTTTCAGTGCAAAACAGGTGACAACGAGAAAATATAGTATACCCAATATATTATCTTTGCTTTGGAGCAAATAGAAGCTACTATGCTATAAAATATATCTCATTCAAATCTATTGGGTTTTCCCTCATTCCAGCTGCTTTTTGCCTTTTACTTTTTTTACACCCCCCATTACTAGCTGATTGAGGTCCAGTGTGTTGCAGGGAGAAAATTTTATAAAATGCCACAAAAACACCAAAATAGCATGACTTACCCTGAGAATCCCGGGAATTGTCGCGGGTGATGATCGAAGGAATAAATGGATTCTTCAATCCATCGTTACCCTCTTGTTGGATCACATTTGAGTTTGCCGATTCTGCCACTACCGTGAACAAATGTTCCGTAAAGCCGGGATTACCGTAGATGGAAACAGCATCAGAAGCTGTCTGTTTATAAGTTTTTCCATTGTCACCTGCAATGTTTGCAACTGACCCATCACGTGACCTGCAATTTTTCTCTTCACCAAGTGAGAATTCAGCACATGCAACTGCTCCATTTGCATGATGGCCCATTCCTTCCCCAGTTGTGCAGATCGGCACTGGTTTTGGAGGACCAGGCTTAACAGGAGTGGTGGGGATCCAAGGAACCTCAAGTTGTGGCTCCTTTCTGTCCATTTCCCCAACCTCCATTCTCTTCAATCCTCAGTGAAAAAGGTTAAGAAAATGAGAAAAAAATCAAAATTGCTGGGTGGAACTCTCTCACGATACACTCAGAAGCTCAATTTTCCAATAAAGGTCACAACTTTAACTTTGTTGAATCTTGATCTTTTCCAGTAAAGCATTCACTGGAACATCTACACGTTGAACCTGAAATACAAAGATGGTAAAACAAATGTTAATGAACAGAAAAAATTCAAGAACAGAATCATAGATGCCCTTTCTAGCTGATGCGTTAAGCAACATTGACAAAGGGGGTTTGTAATTACCTTTGGTGAAAGAACATGTGAGTGATGAAGCCTGTAACTACTCAGCAGTTGCAAAAGGGATTGAAGAATTCATTGATGTCCAATTAAAATTAAGAGAAGAAAACCAAAACTGGTAGACCGGAATGCAACGAGCAGAAACAAAATGCTGGCATTCTTCTCTTTGGAATAGAGAAATTCATGGGAAGGGTGGTTACATGGAGTCAATTTTGAGAGATTTTATGTGACATATAAGTGGGCCAAGTACAAACGGTTGTAAATGCTGTGTGCTCTCCCACCGAGTGAGAGCAGGAAAAGAGAAAGAACATAATCCTGTGCCACTGTGTGTGCATTCAAGAGCTAGGTTAATTTCTTTTATGTGTTCGGTTACGGTTGAGGAAATCGAAGTTTAAGTTTAAGTTTAGATGGAATAAATGAATTTTTTCTCCTTCATAATTAAGTCTTTTGTTGACTGAGACTAAGAATAATATTATCTACACATATTATTTTCACGTAATGCATGCATGCAATTTATCGAGTTTAATTTTGATGTATTATTTTTAAATATTATAAGTATGTAAAATGTTTTTTTTTAATTTTTACTTTTATCAATAATTATTTTCTATTAAATAAATTTTTTTAAGATTTATTTCGTTTATAAATATTTAAAAAATAAAAAATTATAACTAAAAATGTTTTAAGAATATAGTTAAAAAAATAACATTTTCACTTAATATAACCTTACATATTAATATTTAAATATAATTGGTTAGTACGAGTTTTTATACAATAAATAATTTTATTATATTAAATAAAAAATCTTAAAATTAAAATAGTTATAAATGACTTAAAACTTAATTTAATACTTAATAAAATAAAGTTAATTTCAAGTCTTATATTTTGAGAGTATGTATAGTTAGATTTAAAACAAAGATTAAAATTATGCTTTTTTCTAAAAATTATAATAATTATTTTAAAAATCTTAAACAATAAAATAGAATGAATACACAACTGTCTGATTGTAAATAATCATTTTAATAAAAAAAAATAATCAGTTTTTAAAATAAGTTACATTAAATACATATTAAAACTTGAGAAAAAGAAAATATTAATAAAACGAGGTTTTTAAAAGTATTTAATTGTTTATGATAAATTAATTTTAGTTATTAAATAATTTTTAACTTTTTATTTTAAAATGATATTATTAATAAATAAAAATATTTTATGGGGACTCGAAGCTCGTCGAGTTGAATACTTGGAGTGTGTGTGGGATTGGAAGTGAGTAGAGGCGGAGACTAAGTTTAGTAAAACATCTTCCGCTTAAAATCTCATCTGCTATTTTTCAAAGGATAATTTTAATTATTTTTATGATATTTTAATAATTTTATTGTTACGATAAAAATTTGTAATACTTTTAACATGACGATATATTAATATGCAATTATTTTTATGATATTTTATATCTTTTTTATGATAAGAGTAATCTTTAGAATGTTAGCCATAGATTATGAACGATTAATTGACGTGATGATTTTTTTTCATTAATTAATGTTAAATTATGATTAAACTTTTATCATATATTGTATTAGTTACATTGCATTGTGTTATTTGATATATTATTCATTAAGATTCTATATTAAAAATGAACAATTATTTAATTAACTATAAAAAGAATTTAGTTTTAATTTATTATTTTGAAGACTACGCAGTTCCACTTACTCAAATAAAATTGTCTTTTATAATAACATATTAATTTAGACTAAAAATGTATCTATTTTAGAAACATTTTGGAAGCGAAAAAAACTGGATTTTAATGTTAAAAATATCATATAACTTATTACTCGCTGGTATATGTTTTAATTTTTCATTTATTTTTTTTATTAAATTTTTTGAAGATTTATAGGTCATACCTCAAAAGTAGAGTTTAACTTGATCTTGATGCATTGTGAATGTACTTTCAGCATCATTCAACCACGTGTCTCATAACATCATTTAATAAATTTAATGTAAAATAAAATGTTAATTTTTTTAAATAATGTGATAACGTATAATAGAATGATAGTGTAATTTTTTTATTTAACATGAAAGATAATAAGAAAACATAAAAATAAGTTAAATTGTATTTTTCTTTTCACTTTAACAAACTTTTTGAAAATATTTTACAAAAACAAATGTTCAATATTGTTTTTGATCAAGAGTGACGTACAATTGAATTGTCTAAAAGTTTGAAAACTAATTAATTGATCATTTGGATTGTCCTCTTAGATACATATTTTAAAGTAAAGCTTGAGTTAAAAAAATGTATTAAAATATTTATAGAATAACTTTTCAAGTTAGATTAATAAATGAAATGAAAGAGATTAAAGTTCACAAAATCTTACATAGTATTTATCTCACATCTTTTAACTACTTGTGAGTTAGATTTAATTTTTAACATACCATCAAAGATTTATTTTTATAAGAAATAATTGATTATAAATAACATGACATTTTAATTTGAAGTATTATCATCGACTTTTTTTTTTCGTTGCACGTAGACAATAGATACAAGAAAGTTTTAGAAAAATAAATAAAAGAATAAAAAAAGGAAAAAACTTAAATGCAGTATAACAAGTTATGTTTTTAACTATAGTTCAAGTTTTACTTTTGATAATATGCATAATTTATATTAAAGATTAATACAATACATATTATTAAGGTGAACTCTAACTCTAATTAAAGAATAACATTAATAATTTCTATGGTACTAACTTAAGTTTTCTCTATTAAAAGATGTATTAATGCAGTTTGTTAATTTTTAACTTCTCTTACTCTTTATAATCCTTATTTATATGTCTTAATGGAAGATGAATGTTGTAGTTTTAGTAATAGCTGAAAACAAAGTTAATATACATTCTAACCTAGCTACGTTAAATGTATGAAAACGTTAGACTTACATGATCTGAAAACTTGGCTTTTCCTTCTTCGCAGGCTACTTCTAGGCTGAGTTTTGCCAGGAATGTAGCTAACTTCCTCATCTGTGGAAGTCAAGATTATATTTGATCGAGACTTTTGTCACAGTTTTAACAAAGATAATTGCATTTGAGTTACTTGCATGGTGATTCTTGAAAAATATATACTTTCTGTCAATTCCTTTACTACTCATGTAAACACTTTTTATAAATCCAATGCTAGGATCAGAAAGCATGCAACTTTGTCACAAGCCCACATTACAAATCCTGAAAAGAAATCACACCTTAGCCTACAAGCTAAATGTAATAAAAATGATACGAAGTTCTCAATGTTTTGCTCAGAAAAATTGGCAGCCTTTTTCTTGGTTATCTTTCGGCCGTGCATTGGGTTGGCGCTGTTGCATCGCCGGAGCATTGACCAGATGCACAGAGAGGGTGACACATCGTTTTAGAAAAACGTGAGATTAGGTTTGATGAAAGAGAAGATACAACGATGAATTCATCAAGTCGATGCAGATGTAATCGACAATGAATAAGATGATGAGGCCTTATGACATGAGCTCGATGAACGAGGGCGGCAAGTGGCAACAAGAGTTCAGTGGCAGAGACTTTAGAGTGAAGAAAAATTATAAGATGGTTGGATAGTGGTCATAATATGAGTAATGTCAAAATTTTAAATTCTTGACACATAAAAATTTCTTTTAGTGATAAGCTTTTGGAATCATCTTGCAAATAATTAAAAATGACCGATTCAATTATTCTTCATCTTTTATATTAATATATTTTACATGTATTGCGAAGAACTGTTAATATCCTTAAAAAAATTGAATAAACTTTTATCTTAGTTCTTAAATATATATCTTTCAGTAAGGTTAATTTTCTAATTTTAAAACTTTAGTCTTCAAAGAATAATTATTGATCACTACATGCATGAAATAAAAAAAATGATGCTTTATTACGTAAGATAACATGTAAAAAGAAAGAAAAATTCACCGTAAGGAATAAATAAATAAAAGTTAGTAGTAAAAATATCAAATGTAAAGTACTATTTTTTTCAATCTTAAATTTTTTTTTATCTACGTAACCAATTATAATTTTATTATTCAATTTTAATGGTTTTTAATGATAAAATTAAAATGATTTATTGTTAATATTTTTAGAAACTAATATTTAAAATTTAATTTTTAGATAATTGATTTTAACAAAGTTATATATTTTAAAGATTAAAATTGAATATTTACATAAAAACCCTACTTTTTAAGGATTAACTGTCATACAATTATTTTTTTTTTCTCGTCTTGTACAGAGTACTGCAACAAGTAAAACTTCTTTTCATTCCACTGGGCAATGCTCAAAATATTTTATTTCATACTCTTTTTTGGATTTGACTTTGTCAGAGTATGAACAGCAATTACTAACGAATGTTTAGATGAGTCTGATTACACGAAAATTACTTCAGTTAATTATATTTTAGATGAATATAGACTCTACTCATTTTGATTACAGTCTTGTATGAGTTTTATACATTATAGACGTGTCTAATTTTACACATTTAACGAATTGATTAGTTCAATATAGTATTCATTAAATTATTTTAAGGTTATAAACTCATCAAAACTAGTTAGAACTTGAAAACATTCAACATCTTAAGATTTAACAAATGTATTTAAATTAGAGTCTATGGATATGTTTTTGTTGTTGTTCACTTGAAAAACATTCTTAAATGTTAATTAATAATCATATTCGACGAGGTACATGCATAACAATTTTTATGCGGTCTATTTGAAATGTATATACAATTTATCAGAACATACGAATAATGTATATCAAGTGAACATATATACTTTTACGAGACAAATAAATATTTATTATAAAATTAAGAGTAATTATTCATATATATAATTATTTTATCAAGAGTAATTTCTCCCATTTTCAGGTTGTTATTTTGATATGCCATACGCCTTCAATATATTACATAGAAATAAATGCAAGCATCTAAACAAGAAAAAAAAATAATCTAAAACTTAAACTTTTAAATCCAATTCTTATCGCTTCAAGACAACGTTACCTAAATACCGCTATATATAAATTAAAGTTAATTGACATTAAAAAATATTAATGACCAAAAAAATAAGCATCCATATCACAGGCACCTAAGTTATTAAGACTTAGAAAGGATTGATTTTTTTTTTTTTATGTTTTTTTCTCACAGTTTATATAACTGTAATTAAAGTTTAATATAACATTTAAGGTTTAGTAATACCCGTGTGTTCAATTAATGATAGCTTTTATAAGAATTTTAGTAATTTATTAAAAGATTCTTTTTCTTTTCATTTTATCTTACCTTAATTTTCTTGCCTACTGTTTTTTTTTAATTTAGTTTTATTTATTAATTTTAAGTGTCCAAAAGTCTAA